AGAGAGAGAGAGAGAGAGAGAGAGAGAGAGAGAGAGGATCCATTTAATAATACACCATAGAATTAGATTAATTATCAATTAAGATGAATGTATTGGATAAGGATTAAGCTCCATTTGTACAAATCTTGAAGTAGAGAGGATCCAAGCCATCATAATCCACAGTTCTATTTCACATACCTTTTTTTCTCAGGACAGCTAAAAGACAAGTCACCAAATAGCTTTCTTGTAGGCTCATCAAATGGTCAGAAACAAAAACAATTGCCAGTCTTTTAGGCCATCCATTATTTTCTCCAGGATTATGTTTTCTTGTGGATTGCAATTTCCTAACTGTTAACCTACTTGATGTTACATGGAACAACACATTGTCAACCCTACGATCTCATTTTGAGTCAAAAGTCATATCTGCTTGCAAGTCATTTAGGAAATGAGCTCAGGATTAGTTCATCAACAAAGCACTGCTTTCTCCAATAACTAAATCCCTCCACTTCAACTTGATTGTGCTGATTTAAATCAGCAAACACAAAGCATATATCTGTATATATATATGTGCATATACGAAGAAAATGATGAGAAAGGTAACAAAAGGGATGGGGGGAAAGAAAGATCCCAGTGATCACCTGACACTCCATTATTTCATTTTCACTGCATGCAGTTTAGAACTTTTGACTGCATCTCGTGATCCAATGCCTGAGGCAAACATTTGGATATGAGGTTATGAGAAAGGAAAAAAAAAGGTTCCACCAGCTTTTACATGACCACTTTTGGGAGGAGAATTATTTTACACGAAATGATGCAATGGCAGGTGGAAACCCAACTCCAGAATATTTTGTATACCATCTCATTCATCTCTAGAATTCAAGAGACAACCAAAAGAACTGTCAACAGGAGAATACTAATCTAAATGATTGGGTGAGATGTGTTCCACTTTATCTGTGACTATGTCATATATAAAATACAAAGAAAATCTCATGATGCAGAAACATGACCTTTCTTATTTGTTTGAGTAAAAGGCTGTTGTTTTGTGCATGCCAAAAGTTGTATTATAAACTCAAAACCCAATACATTCAGAAGAAAATTATCCTAAAAGCACTTACTTTTGAAGTCCTAAACATTGTGGAAAGCTATGGAGTAGATGTCATTAACGTTTCTCTCATTATTTCTTCTCCTGTTGGTACTTGACACCATGTCTTGAATTGAAACTTCAGAAGGTCATCATTGTTGTCAAATCACATAATTGAGCAATCCAAGGAACAAGAAAGTGGATCTGTTCCACCCAAAAATAATTTGATCTTAGGAGAGGATAAATATGTGTGCACATAATAATGAGTGGTGAGCAAGATGACTTGTGATTTGGGCATGCATTTTTAAGCCAACTTGACTGGGTAAGAGCTGAAAAATTGATGGTTGCTTAAGAGAGATGACCAATTGAATTCTGAAGCCAAGAATTGCTTTCCCATCAGTTCATCCATAACAGGCCAAACAAAGGATTGTTTGTGGTAGGCCACTCCAGCTCATGAAATAGTGAACACTGAGAGAGAAGCGACTGTTTGATTTGTCCTTCATAAAGCTGAAAAACAAACTGCAGGATTCTTTCAATTATGGAGGCTTTTCACTCGTCCTCAGTACAGGATTGGAGTACAGAAACTTAGTCTTATCCTTCCATTCATCAGATTGTTTTTTATCCAAAACTTCTTTTCTTTTTTGAATTATTCAAAAGAGCACTGTTTGTTTTGGTACACTTCAATTCTTTTCAGCTAACCTCTGGTACAGATAGAAATCTGTGTATTCTCTGAAAGGATGCAGAAGAAAGTTGAAACACAAGTTGAAGAAGCTGAATAAAAAGAAAAGAAGATGTCTACATGATCAAAACTAAGCTGATCTAGAAATTATGAAGGGCTGCTATTTCTGATTAATAGGTCATAGTCAACTTGGGACAGCTCAGGGGAAGTTTGACTCAAAGAAAACCTTGTATCTTATGTATCACCAATGTTGAGATGTCAATCTTGTCAACCTCTGTGCTACCAAATTCTTGTTCTTTGCTAATTGTTGATGGTAGCAGTAGCTTGACTTCGAGCTATAAAATGAAAGCTCTCAACATGAATGACATCTAGTTTGCCAAAGCTAATGGATACCTGCATGAACAACCACCATATGAAGAACTCATTGACAGAGGCTTTTTGCATGTAACATGATTTTATATATTCTTTTTATTGCTACAAAAAGGTCTAACTTTTGGTTGAGAATTTTATGAGAAAAAAAAGTTTTTTTTCACGATCTCCTCTCCCTGTTTCATTTTTTGCATCTATCTTCTTTCTTGCAGCCGCAGCTGCTATTGACACAGTTGTAGCCGCAGCCCCTTTCACTGTGCTCATTCCTTTCTCCTTTCTCTCATTCCTTTCTCTCATTTCATTGCGCTCATTCCTTTCTCACTGAAATGTTAATGAGGTAAAGGATGGGAGGTTTGTTTAGAGCCCACAAATTCAAGAGGCATGTTGGTCAAATCTTTGTTGATAGGTTTGCTGTACCGGTTGCTATTCTTCTTTGATTTTTGACTGACTTGAGTTGTGATTGATGGTCTTAGAAATTTATCCTCACGCTTGAGATATATCTCATAGTCAGTTAACTTGTCATAGAGTTCTTCAAAGGACATCGATGAGTCGCGTGCCCGTATTGTTGCTGCCAGTTCCTTATACTCATCCCTGAGGCTGTTAAGTGTGTGGATATGACTTCTTCATCACTAAGATTATGATCTATCATGGCTAAGTTATTGATGATAACTTTTATATATTGTAGATAGTCAGCAATAGTACTTCTCTCTTGTTTTGCTTGCATGAGACTTGATAGGAGATTAAGCAGACGAGTACGCGAATGATTTACCAATGTGATTTGCAATTTGCACTAGCCTTCGACAGTAGTGTCATATGAAGATATGAGTGGGACAAGGGATCCAGTGACTGAAGCTTGAATTACTTGAAGGATGATACGATCTTGACGTAACCATAGTTTGTGGTTTGGATTTTGTACTGGACTAGGTGCTCTTGGGATGTTGAGCATCACTGATAGACAACGGAGAGAGCCGTCGACATAACCTAATAGATCACAGCTAAATAGGAGATTAAAAAATTAAGCACGATGCATAGTTATCATCTTTCGATAACTTGAAGGGAAGAAACACTT